GGATTAAATATGTAAAAAGATGGTCCTGCATACTTTTTCTCCTTTAGGTCCTGTGATGTGTTCTGTTACGTCAACCTGGAGAGTTACAGAGACATTAAAGGGTGCTAAAGGTTGGGCTAAAGGCTAAAGGGTGTGAAACATTTATCCCTGAAGAAAGTCTCGAAGGAATCATTTTAAAACAAAGCTAATTTGTGGGTAACCGAGAGGAGGGAGATCATCACCATTAGCTCTGCTTTCCATTTGATTGGAGGAAACATAGGTGGTGGAAGAGGAGGAGTGATGAAGACTTCACATTTTGAAACTGACCACCTGCTGCCTCTGCTGGATGGGAATCCTGCACAGAACAAACATCATGTTAATTACTGTGTTCCCTGTGCATTCTGGGAAAGGAGGGCACTGAGATCAATCAGATCTATAATCGTGATATAGTGAATGTTTTAGGCAGTATGTGAAGGGAAAAACAAAGAAGGTCATGAACACTTTCTAAAACAAATTACATCCTGTGTTTTGATTTTACGCACCATCCATGACATCATGTTATCCAGAGTGATCCTATGATCGAGGCTCTGTGGCTCAGACGTTAAATATTGTGGGGCATTGATTGTTGATTTGTATATTTCACTGTCTGACGTGTCTGCACAGCAGTCATGCTGCTGCATGTGCAGTCACCAAACACCTTTCCACTCTTTATTCTCTTCATAGCAGCCCACACTTCATCCTCGCTAATGCCCTGCACAAGTGTGGGCCACTATGAAGAGAATGAAGAGTGACTGCAGGTTTCAATCTTATAAACAGTACATTTGCATAATGACTGAAACCAGCACTACTGAATGAACAATGGGCTGGGAGGTCAGTTCGTTGATTATTAAAATGTAATGTCAGTCAGCTGAGACTGAAGAAGTCACCTGGATGATGACGAAACATTTGCTGCATCCAGGTGAACAGAATCAACTTTCGGGGTTTACTTACCTGGATGACTGAGCATGCATCAAGACACTGGTGCTGATGTTCAAGAGCAAGGGTGATATGCAGAGCTCTAGTAACTACACAGGGATAAAGTTAATGACCCAAACTATGAAGATAGGCTGAGAAGAGAGGTGACAATCAGTGAGCAGCAGTGTGGCTCCCTATCAAGAAAGAGCTCTATGTGATGTTTGCTTTGAGAGTGTTGATGGAGAAGAATGGAGAAGGTCAGAAAGAGTTGCACTGACTCTTTGTGGCTCTCAAGAGAGGAACTGAGGTGCTGCATGAGGAACTCAGAGTATGTGAGACACACACAGGACAGGACACGTACAAGGATAGCGAGATAGTGGTGAGGTATACGGCAGGAGTTACAGATAAATTCAAGGTAGGGGTGGGATTATATCAGGGAACAGCTCTGAGCCCCTTCTTGTTTGCTGTGAGATGGACAGGCTGACAGATGAGGTCATGCAGGAGTCTCTGTGGATGTGATGACATCGTGATCTGTAGTAAGAGCCGGCAGAAGGCGGAAGAGACCCTGGAGAGGTGGAGGTATGCAGTGGAGAGGAATGAAAGTGAAGCGAGGCAGAATACATATGTGTGAGTTAGGGATGGACCGATCCGGTATTCCGTATCGGTCCGATACCGACCTAAATTACTGGATCGGATATCGGAGAGAAATAAAAAATGTAATCCGATCCATTAAATATCACGAAAGCACCTCACAGAACTTGCCACATGGCGTAACCCACATCTGAGCAGTGTGCATCACGTGATAGAGCGGCTGTGGCGTGCGAGACCTGTCGGCGGTCTGGTTGAGCATTTGGAGCCTGCATTTCATCTCCGAGGAAGTTTTCCCAGAGAGAAGTAAAGCAAGTGTGTAAGTTCATCTCTGAATGTTTGTAAAGCATTCCAGCGTTAAGCTTAACAACCGATATATGGAGCGACTGCCTCTTCTTGCTGCTACTTCAATCGTGAAACTGATCAATGATCAGCTGATCGGCTCTTCTGTCGCGACTCCGTCTCTTTTGTTTGTTTTTGGCCCACTTTACACCAGAAATAGGAAACCAGCGGATAAACAATTAAAAAACACACTATATCGGATTCATATTGGTATCGGCAGATATCTAAATTTATGATATCGGTATCGGACATAAAAAAGTGGTATCGTGCCGTCTCTAGTGTGAATGAGAGGGAGACAGGTGGAAAGGTGGACATGGAAGGAAGAGAGGTAATAAGGATAGATGAGTTTACATACCTGAAGTCAGCCATCTGAGGCAATAGACAGTGCACAAGAGTGGTCAAGAAGAGAGAGCAGGCAGGGTGGAGTGGGTGGAGATGAGTGTCAGGGGCGATTTGTGACAGAACAATAGCAGCAAGAGTGAAAGGGGAGGTTTACAAGATCTTAGTGAGACCTGCTATGATGCATCGTCTGGAGATGGTACAGAAGGCAGAGCATAAGATGTTAGGATTTTCAGAGTGAGCAGGATGGACAGGGTTAAATATGAGTGTGGAGGGGCGTGGTCTGCGGTGCCGTGCAGGGTTATGAGTGGTCTCGTGGTGCGATGTGCGGCTGGCAGCTCAGTGCTGCAGCCGGTGTAAATAAATGGCTCAAAATTACAATTTGTGGTCCCGCCATGCCTCATTCACGCCACAATGAGTTCATCACAAGTTCTGCCTGAGCAGTTTGGAAACAAAGGGGCAAGGCTGAGATGGTTTGGACATGTACAAAGTTGCACAGGTCGTTCAACATGGAGCTGCCAGGTAGGGGAAATGCTCATTAGACAGTTACTTCAATATTTTGGGTTAATTTGGCATCTCCGGCCCCAACTCAGCTCTCTCCTTCACCAGGTCAACACAGAAGTGTTTTCAGCCTCTCTCCGTGCACAGATATATCACGTTGACCTGTGTGGCCCCTCCCTTGTTTGACCACACCACCGCTACTTGTCATATGACCACGAAGGGCCCTTGCCATTTAAAGTATCAGTCACATCTTAATGGTTTAATCTGAGACTCACTGAGGTGGGTGCTTTACCTTAGGAGGCAAGAAAGTGTTAGTGTTTATGGACTTAACTGTTATCCAGTGTTATTGTTTGACTCACTTGTTGTAATAGAGGAAGCAGCCGACGGGAGACTGCTTAGCAACGCAGTCCATCCTAGGATCAGTTGAGTCAGCATCTCAACACTTCCTGCAACCACAAATCATGACCACTAAGGAAAGTACTGTTTCCCTCTGTGGTCATTTAAATATGGCTTCATGTCTCTCCTTCCGAACCAACACCCACCCTCTTTTAGCAGAAAGATCCATGAAACCATCAGTGATGACAGATATGTAATTAATAGTTCAGACACAGCATGAAAGAAGGGTTTTCGATGGGTTGCAAAGCGGCTTGGAGATCCACACCAACGTCAGGCAACGGATGTGTGTGGGCCCAGATCAGATATTTTAGGACAGATGGCATGAATATAATTTGTTTAAGTTGACCTAATATGAGACAACAGTTTAAGCTATAAGAATGTGAGGAACGCTCAGACACTTCGAGATCAGGCGGACACCCTCCCGCGCTCATCTCCCATCCGGATGGTTTATGCTCAAAAGTGTTGAATTGTATGGAATAAAATGATTGAGCTTTTATACACCGAGTATTGTCCTTCCTTCAGCCCAACAATCAAAAGCATTGGGAGGATTTAACAGTGTGCACGAGAGGCAGATTTAGAACTTGTTCGTGTCACGCTTAAAATAATTCACCCTTCGCAGTTGTGACTCTTCCAGCTCACAGTGGAACTTAAGTTTTCTTACCCTGGACTCGGCTGCAATGCCAAACACAGATTACAAACTTGAAGTTAAATAATCTGAAAGACCTCCAATGCAGGACCATAGTCCCTCCACTGAAACTCTAAATTAATAAATGGAATTTATTATTGTTCTTGTGCTGTTCATAAAACCCATTAAATAATGGAGAAGAACTTTTCCCCTAATATGTAATTAAGTATAAGAGCTCAGGTATGTTCATGCATTATAGTCAGTGTAGCGTGTCTTACCTCAGTGCTGTTTCCTGCTCAGTGCCTGGCAAAGCTCTAGTCCTGTACCGGAGATGTCTGTTGGAGCTGCATCTCTTCCTGGTCATGATCCAGCAGAACTGCAGCCCAATCTGCTATGCTTGCACGTTCAGTCTTAATCTCAATCAACTGTGGAAATGCAATGCAGCTTCTGGCACTGCTTCACAGGAATAATCAGATAATTACTTTAACACTGAGCCAAAGAGGAGCCTGCTGATCAGGACACATGCTGTGGAGGATGAAACTTTGAAAGCGGTCTGTAGCACTTTCTCTCATAATATATTACATGAGTATATCAGAGCCCCATCAGTGCTGTTCATCCTGCATTGCAGCAATGGTCATAGTGGGTAACTGAAATAGTTTAAGCACTTTTTACCCTGTAGAAATCAGCTGATCTTTAGTGAGCCCTTTGGATAAATGGGACTCATGGCCGTTGATCAGTGGTTGTTGATCAATGGTCATGAGAATTTGAATAATTATGATGAAGAAACTGACCTCCCAGCCCATTGTTCCTTCAGTGGGCTGGTTTCAGTCATTGTGCAAATGTGCTGTTTATAAGTTTGGGGAAATCTGCAGTCAGCTGAGACTTAAGACGTCACTTGGACGAGTGACAAAACGTTTCTCCTGTTGAAAACGCTGCATCCAGACGAACAGAATCAACTTTTGGAGGTTTACTTTCCTGGATGATTGAGCATGCATCAACACATCTGAAATAAAGCTGATCCATCTCTGTCCTCACACACTCGGGATCTGAAGTTCTACTTTTACATTTTTCAGTTCTACAGTTCTGCTGACATATGAGCTGTTTCTTTGTGAACATACCTCATTAACAATTATTCAGACAGTGTTTTTAAGCTGAATATTTGCAACAAAAAAAACCCCACAGTCAGTACTAAAAAATGAATCAGTGGAAAAATTAAACACACGTTTACTTACGCTGCCAAGTGGGAGTAGTTGGTTTCAGTACATAAATATTGGGCTTTGGTATTTAATCCGTAGTTATTGGTGTGACTATGGTGTGATTATCAATCACTGTATTCAAAAGTGAGTAGAGGGACAGGGTGGCTTGCTTGGCTCCTTTGGGTGGCGCTGTCACTTGGTGTTAACTCGCTCTGCGGTAGAGTACCACATCCTGTTCCTGCTCAAACACAGTGGTGTTTCTGAGTAGCTTATTTGCTTAGCAATTTAATTAACAACTTTTAAATACATTCTTTTTTCAGAGTATAATCTTCACGTGCTTCATCCGAAGCACACTTTCTGTGTACTCACTACCTAATTTATAGCCAAAGTATTCACTCACTGTCTCTGTACTGTTTCGCT